TCCTAGGAGGTACAGTTTGTGGAAGTCCCCTTCCGACTATATCTCTCCGCTCTCCACCCGCTCCCTGATTCTATCAAGCATGCCACCAAACCATGCAGGATCCTCCTCCATCATGGTGTCCACAGCGATAGTCTCATAATACACATCTGGGCGAGCTTCCTTCATCTGCTCATGCGTCCAAATGCCCCTTTTGCCCAACTCCATGAAGCGCCCATTTGGTCCTAGGAGCTTCAGGGACTCCGGGATGTAATCTTCTACGAGAGTGTTCAGCACTACATCTACGTGTCCATCAGGTCCTAGGAATTCGCGCATATCCTTTGCAAATACTGATGCGTCTCGACTGGTGCTTATGTATTCAACTCCCAAAGACTTGGCGTACTCAGCCTTGCGGCCACCACTGCATGTTCCGTAAACAATGGCCCCTACGCGCTGGCAGTGTTGAACCGCAGTTATGCCTACACCCCCAGTGACCGCATGTATCAGCACTTTTTCACCTGCTTTCACTTTTGCTAGATCGCCCAAGGAGTATTCAACAGTAGACGCAACAACGGGAAGAGCGGCTGCTTCTTCAAATGAGAAATCAGCAGGCATCAACCGTAGAAGCTCCGCAGACGTTATGGCAAAACTTCTTAAACAACCAGGAACAATCCCATATACACAATCACCTATTGTAAATCTGGTTACCCCAGGCCCAACGCGCACCACAGTGCCTGCACAGTCTGCTCCAGGCAAACCCGGATCCCCTGGATACAACCCCATAACATTGAGCACATCCCGGAAGTTCAAGCCAACAGCGCGAATTCGAACTTCAACACAACCTTCAGGCGGATCGACCCTTGCTGCAGCAGGCAGGGGGCGTAACTTCAGCATGCTCAGGGCTCCGCGGTTACCCATAAATAACTCGACTGGACCACGGCACTCGACGTGAGATCTCGTCAAGCGCGGGACATACTGTACGTCGTTGCGGAAGCAAATCTCGACTTCAGCAGGAGATTCATCATCAGGCATAGCCTGAGCAATAATACCGGCAATTACTGACGGTTCCTTTGCTGCTTCTGCAGGTACGTCTAGGCATCCAAGCTGTACCGGTCGTCCTATTATATTCTCCACTTCAAGTCGGGCAGATCGGCAGAATCCCCAGACACCACCATGAATTGGATTTGTGACAGTGTCGTCTTCCGTGGCTTGAACATGTCCTGTGGTAAGGATAAAGGTAGGAGGGATCTCAACATGAACTGGAGCTTGCGCCAAAGCCTTAGAGATCGTCAGACAATCGTCGATGCAGTCCACCTCCGAGCGCTGTTTATCCAGAGCACCCAAATAGACAACTCCAGTGAAAACTTTTCCGTCAGTTCCCGTTTGGTCTAAGGTACCTTGCAATGCCTCTACTGAGGCCATTTGGAAAGGTACTGAACTGGTGCACCCCTTTATACCTTCCACAAAGTCTTCAGGGCAGTTGAGCAGTAAAATAGGAGCAGCTTTCCTAGGGTGAGAGTCAGACTGCGGCGATGTGGTGCGGGTCTCGATGTCATCTTGCTGGCCGCCATTGTGTCCTGGAGAGCTCTCGGCGCTATCTCTGGTGGATGCAGCAGCCTTTATTTCTGCGTCAGGGAAGCGTGGACGCCACTGGACTTCCCACAGGAAATTCCTTGGGATGGAGGCGCGCTGCGACATGTCCACAACGCGTAGCGTCAGATCATCTAGCACTGCATACGGTCGTCCCTTACCTCCAAATATAGTTAGGTCAAGAACAGCCGTGCTAGAATCCTTCTTCTTTAGAACAGCGTGGCTCCACACCACAACATCTGGTGGCATTCTGGCCATTGCCGCCTTGCGGATGCCTACAGGCACCATAGGACGGGTTGGTTGCACGTCACCTAGCAGTAGTGAAGCAGATTGGATGGCACCATCCAACAGGGCTGGATGGAAACGGAAAGTCCTTTCGAACGGCAGAGATGGTTGCTGAACTTGTAGCCTGCAAAGCGCCTCATTTTCACTTCTATAAGCCTCCCGGATAGTCTGGAACCTTTTTTTATATTGGAGTCCGGACAACGCCATAGCACTGTAGATTTCTTCAGGAGGAACAGCCTGCGGCATGCGCTTCTTAGCTCCCTCCAAGAATCCCCACCCTTCAGATAAGTCGAAGACTGTGTCAGCGGGAGCAAGCGTAGCAGAAGCCCGGCAGTGAACGTACATTTCATCCTCTTCCTCAAGCTGGCTTTTTACCTGGACTTCATCCTTGTTGACGACGGCAATTACCGCCACGCTTGGGTCATGTCCTTTTTGTGTACGTTCGGGATCGACCAGCATCATCGGACGATCGAATTCCACGTCGGTTAGCACTGTTGCAGTGCTTGGAATCTTACCGTCAAAATGCATAAATGCTGCGCTGCTCATGATCTCCAAAAAGCCCGCACCAGGCATAATGGGAGTCTGGCTGACGACGTGATCTCGCAAGAGATCTAGCACATGGGCATCCAAGACAGTAGTTGCGGTGGCCTGAGTGGTACTTTCGCTTTGCACGCTTTCGACCAGCGGTGTCGAGAGCTTGAACCATGGGAATGCTTGCCGTTTCCATTCATGGTGCCGTTCTTCCTTGGATAAGAGTGCATTAACGCTGTTGGAAACTTGTTCCATGTCTGGAGTCTTTGGATCAAGAAGCGAAACACAGAGAACTTCAGACGCCTTCAAGGATTGCTGAGCCATTGTAATGAGAGTTGGCATCGGACCAACCTCTACAATTATTGAGATCTCAGATTCAACTACTTCCCGGACACCTTGCATGTACTTCACGGGACGCGTAATTTGGAGAGCCCAATAGTCAATGGTGCACACTTCATCAGTTGCCCTAGCGCCCAATGCTGTCGAAACAAATACAACTGCTGGCCGTCTAAGCTTGACGCCGGCAAGCGCTTCGCTGAATGGCTTAACTGCGTCAGCAACCAAGCTGCTGTGGAAGGCGTGTGTAGTGTTGAGCTTCTTGTACCGTTCCCCCAGGCCTAGCTTGTCAATGACCTTCATGACATGTGACTCCTCACCCGCCAGCACAATGCTCCTGGTCCCATTGATGACTGATACTTCGGCCGTCTTTGCTGACTCGCCAAGTTCTTCTATCGCCTTCTGTGCATCCTCTTGCGTGCAGCGGCACGCAACCATAACGCCATCGCGGGGATCAATTTCCTGCATTATGCGTCCTCTCTCGACTATGAGGTTAAGGGCATCTTCCAAACTCATAATGTCTGCTGCAACCGCTGCAGCATATTCTCCGATGCTGTGGCCCAAGACAAGATCAGGCTCGAGACCCTTGCTCCTTGCAAGACAGAGAAGAGAATATTCCACTGCAAAGATTGCAGTTTGAGCGTAAATGGCTTGCTGTAAAAGTGCTGAGCCCTGTGGAGTTTCCTTGGTTGGGTAGATAGCCTCCACCAAAGGCACTGGGAGCTTTCGCTTCAGAATCTGGCTGCATTCATCCAGCGCCTCCCGATAGACGGGTTCATTCTCATACAGTTCCTTTCCCATGTTCTCATACTGACTACCTTGTCCTGTGAAGAAAAATGCAACCTTTCGCTTCCCCACGCCCTGGGTGACGGCTGCCTTTCCCACTTTTCCAATATACTCTTCTAGTACGACGTGGGCATTCGCTCCTCCAAACCCGAAGGAGCTAGTCCCTGCAAGCACTTTTGCTTTGTTTACTGCAGGCTCCAGTGGAATGACGGAATTTGGCAACACTAGCGGAAATCCTTCGATATCCATGAAGGGATTAGGAGTCGTGTAATGCAGGTTGGGAGGTACCGCACGGTGCGCAAGGCAAGCCAGGACCTTCAGGACATTTGCGATTCCAGCGCCGCCTTCCAAGTGACCGATATAGGACTTAAGGGCACCAACTATCAGGGGATTGCTGTCATTTCGATTTACACCGTAGACAGCACGGATAGCTCCCATTTCAATTGGGTCTCCAAGCGAAGTGCCTGTACCGTGGGACTCGATAAACCGAACATCTTTTGGGTTCGCATTGGCGTGTCGGAGGGCAAGTTTCATGCATTCCTGCTGCATAGGGCCATATGGAGCCGTTAGACTAGCGCTCCGGCCATTGTGACTGACAGCTGTTCCTCTCAACACAGCTAATATCTTTTGTCCCTGAGACTCGGCGTCGTGCAGTGGTCTAAGAACCACTGCTCCTGCTCCCTCTCCACGCACGTAGCCATTAGCTGCTGCATCAAATGTAGCGCAGCGGCATTCTGGTGAGAGCATGCGTGCCTTACAAAATGCGAGGAATAGCTGTGGGGACAACATCAAGTTGATTCCAGCCACCAATGCCCCAGAGCAGTAGCCAAGGCGGATTCCTTGAAACGCGGAATCCATTGCCACCAGTGAAGAAGAGCATGCAGTGTCAATGGTCATGCTGGGTCCGTTGATCCCGAACACGTAAGAAACTCGGTTCGAAACCAGACAGCCAGAGCCACCAGGGCCTGAATAACTACTGCTTTTATAAGGGTCCGACTGCTGCTCCAGAAAGTGCCAATCCGAGTTGCAACAGCCAATCCATACGCCGAATGACTTTCCCAACAATGTTTCGCGAGAATAACCTGCTGAATAAAAGGCATCGTACGCCACTTCCAGTGCCATTCGCTGTTGGGGATCCATGTAATTTACCTCCGCTGCGGAAAGGTTGAAAAATGCGTTATCAAACATTTCGGCATTCTCCATGAATGCTGCCTTACGGACGTACATCTTTCCCTTTGCGTCTAATTCCGCGTCATAGAATAGATCTACATCAAAGCGAGTCAGTGGAATCTCCGAGACGCAGTCCTTTCCCCTGCAAGCAAACCACAGACCAATTATTAGCAAACCGAGCGCAATGTGGCAAGCAACATAATAGCTGACTGTTTGCTGGTCATTTGAATGCCATGCAGCCATCTATTCCAGTGATATCGTACCTAAGCAGCATCTCCCACAATAGCGCGGGATTATCGCTGTTCCCTGGAAGCCTGCATGACGCCCCAATGACGGCGAGACCTTGCATTTGACCCATCGCAGACATTGCGGATGTCGGGACATCTGGTGTACCTACAGAAACACTTCCAGATATTTGGTTTTGAATGTAGTTTATTATTGCCCCTATAGTTGGGTAGTCGAAGAGGGTCGTTGCCGACAGCTTGACTCCAAGTCTTTGCGCAAGTCCGTTGCGCAGCTCCACTGCACCCAGGGAGTCGATGCCCAACTCCTGCAAAGGAGAATCGAGCGGAGGAACTTCTGCTGCACCGAGGACCTGCCTAGCCGTGTCAATAACCACCTTGGTAACATGCTCCCTGAGCTGCTCCGGGGTCATTGAACTGTATAGTTGACGCAGAGCTGCTGGCGTCGTCACATCTAGCTCTACATATTCGAAGAAGCGTGGCATTGTATCAAACTGCTCACTGTACTTCTTCCATCTAAAGGCCTGGCAGAGCACCGGCACTGGCATGTCACCTCCACGTAAGCAATCCACAAGGACACGAACGCCGATCTCGTTAGTGATTCCGCGTAGCCCAAGCTTTTCTACCTCCTGCCTCAACCCAGCTGCCATTCCCTGCTCAACCCACGGACCCCACTGGATACTTTGAGCGCACAAACCTATAGACCGCCGCCACGCAGCAAGTGAATCCAGGCAGGCGTTGGCCGCTGCATAGTTCGCCTGACCAAAGTTACCCAGAAGAGCAGCAACTGAAGAGAACATCAAGAAAATTTCGAGGTCCTTGTTCAAGTCCAACTCATCGCACACCTCATGCAAATTCCAAGCACCCACCACCTTCGCGCCATAAACCTTCTCAATTGATGCCTTGTCTTGCTCTGCGAGGGCCTTGTCGTCAGTCACTCCTGCTGCATGGAATATGCCGCGCACGGGAGGCCA